TTTTTATTTTTAGACATATTTCATTCTGAAATTAAATTACAAAAATTATAGTGTTTTCCTGATTTGGCCAGCATAATTAGCTTGTTTTAACTGACATCTGATTTGCTAAATATGTGTGTGTATGTGTGTGTGTGTGTACCTGTAGGAACTGTGACTGCCATCGTCATCATATCATATCCTGTTTCTATCTTACACCTATACTACGTTCTCTACACACAAACAAATCTAGTAGCAGAAAATCAACTTCAATCTGAAAGATTATTGTATAGAACAGTCAACAAAATGCCATTTTTAAAATAAGCCCCATAAAAATAAATGTATAAAATGTTCAAGCCTTTATAAAAGGAACAAAAAATAGCCTCAGGATTTTCAAAGAATTTCTGAAAAGATATTTACAGCATGAATCAAAAGTTATCCCTTCCCCCATTATAACTTTACTCGAAGCAAAACCTGTTTTTCCTCTGAATTGCACAAGTTGAAAATCTGGTTTTCTTCAACATAATTGTATTAGGTGACTTCTATGTTGGTTCAATTAAGAACAATACATATAGCTATGAAAAACCATTTAATCCTAAGGAAACCCTAGGTCTACAGCACACAATACAAGGATAAACAGACATGCACATAGAATGTGGAAGGTTAGTCACTTCGTGTAGGGAGGAAAAAAATAACTCAGCTTGTTTACCTCTCACCATGAGAAAAAATAAAATCCACAAATCTTCACGGAAGACATTCATGATGTGTGCTGGGGCGCCCTCTATTGAACACAAGGAGTTATAAAAGTGTGTGTGTGTGTGTGTGTGTGTGTATAATACTAGCTGCAGTGTTACAGTGGGATCATTCTGTATGCTAAAAAATTAGTAGGAATTCTTAACATCCTTCTGTAAAAAAAAAAAACTCTCCTTAAATTTTGAAGAAATACTAAACCCTAATATATGTTACCTTATGTTATAAGGTAAATACAGTTATATGAATGGGATTAATTCATTAAGGAAGGAAAGCTACCTTCTATCCCTGATATCAATCAAATTTAAAAATTAGGAGTGCTTAACATCAATTCATAGTTAGAGACTTGCCAACAAGAGTCTATAATTTTAGTTTCTAGCTTTCTTGTGCTATCACTGTTGATAGAAGTGACTTTCAGTTTATAATTAGACTGGGGGGAAGGGAGGGGCCCAAAAGGAAAAGTTTTGTCAAGACTGAGGAAAAATTAATACAACTGAAAAATATCACCCTTGTACTGACCAAATTTAACCAGCAATAAAGAGTTCTGCTAGTTATAAACTGGTTGGTTCCTAGATAAATACAGTTCCTACACCTTCCCTGCAATACTCTCATCGGTAACACTGGGAAACACTTAACTCCTAGTACTGTTAAAGGTACTGAGTAAAATTGTGAAAAGCTAAACATACAGCAAATGTTCATTAGATGGTATAAATTGCTATTATTTGGCATCTAGTCAAAGAACCGACTCTAATTCCTCTGTGAACTGGCGTGGATAGATACCTTGCTATTAAATATGTATTATTTCACAAGGGACTTAAAAATGAAAAGAAATCATACTATCTACATGTAGCACACACACACATGCACAGAGATGGCGCCGTTTTGGAGTTTGAATACAAATGATGTTCTTGATTATGACTTTAAAACTTAACAAAAAACTGACTGTTAAATTTATGCTAAAAAGCTACAGTGCAAGCACATTCTTGTTTTAATGCTGTGTTGTCTTCCCTCTCAAGTTCCTAAGCATTGTACGAGAGCCTGGTGAGGGCTGCGGTCATAGCTCTACTTCAGGGGGCCTCAGAAGACAGTCAACGGAGGCCAGGCCGTGGCGCTCAGGTGTCTGCATTACTTGGGGCACCAGTTTCCCAAAGTGGCTTTGGGTCAGGGGTAGGGTGCCTGGCAGGGGGACAGAAGAGGAACCTTCTGTGTAAGGAACCTTCTGTGTGAGGAAACAGGCCAGGGAGGGTGTGCAGGAGGGCGTGCAAGGGGTAGAAGTTACCACTTCTACACAAACAAACTGGACAAAGAACAGGAGCGCTGTGTGAGAGAATCTGAAGGACACAGAAAGGACTGGGAGAGCAGGCATGGGTCAGGCCTGACTCCAGCCTTGTGGTATGAGATCCTTGCTTAGATCAGGTCCGGACCACAGGGAACCACCAGCTTTTGCTTTTAACAGAAAGCTCGTCGGTTTGAAGACAAAGGCTTCCCTATCAAAGCAGAACAAAAAACAGCACACGAGAACGCAGTGTCTGCTCCATGATGTGATTTCTGGATGTGATCCAGATCCAGTTTAACGAATCCCATCATCCCCTGAGTTATGCATACTGGGCATGGACACTGGAATGGAGCTCCAAGAAGGCAAGGATTTGTGTCCACAATGTGCCGCCTTCAAGCCCCAGAACCCTTGGGGTCTGAAGGAGCCACTTAATAAATATGTTGACAAAGGACCGAAGCAGTTTCTAGAGTCCTTCCTGAGCCACATCAGAAAGCTACCACCAACCAGTGAGTACGGCAACCATGTGTGACAGAATGGCACTCACAGCGAACCGAGGCTCAAAGGATTAAAGTAACTTTTACAAGGCCACAGAGCCGGAAAAAGCCAGAATCTAAGATCATGGGATACCTGGAACCCTGCTTCTCACGCTCCAGACCCAGGACAGTTTCTATTCTGACATCTGTATCAAATTCAACCAGCAAACAGTCAAATGACAACATATGCCAACACAAATAAATAAATAAAATAACACCAGCACGACCCCACTGCAGAATAAAATTCAGTCATTAATTTGGTAGCTCAGCAGTGGAAGGAAAGGTCGTGTTGAAAACAATGAAGTGATTCCTGGTCAAAAACACATGCCCTGTGCTTAACTAGCACATAAATACAGAGACACATGCTGACCTCTGACCTCAAAGAAGACTCCTGTCCAGCAGACAAGCAGCTCCCCGGGCCAGCAGCGACTGCAAGACAGGCTGCCCTGCCCAGGCCTCACTGGTGATGGCCAATCTGCAGCCTCCCGGGGCCACATCTGGACTGCCAGCCTCGCTGCAGGCCATGTGGCAGGGACCACATCTTCAGAGCGAGGCCATCAGCCACCTGAGTCTCGTACAGGCAACAATTAAAACTGGAGCTGTCCTCAGGAGGAAAGGGCAGGACAAAATTGACCAAGTCTGTTTTCTCATGCCCATGACACCCAAAAGAATACCACTCTGGTTTTCTGAGGAGTTGGCTTGGTTAATCTGTTTGTTCTGATTTCCTGTCATTTTACCTCTGGCTTCTTTTTCTTCCCCTGCTCCCCAATTTTTAATCTTGCCTTCCTCTATGATGCCTTCAAAGGAAAAGCATTTTATCAATCTTATCGAAATAAATGTCAATACTCATGCATATACTTCATATCTAAATCTCTTAGGAGGTAGGCTTTTGGGGAGACACTAGTGTATTATTTCTGGCCAGCTCTAAGTTACTATTTAGTGAATTCAAAAGGAGATTACATCAGATCCTGAAGCAAGAAAAAAGAGTTCAGAAGACTGGCCCTGCCACTAACTAGTCCTATCACTTACACTATTTTTTTTTTATCTATAAAATAGGACCTTTGAAAAATCTGATATACCACAATTTCATGTGTTAAGTACATTAAACTAATCAGGCCACTATTTAGCTACTACACAGTATATACCAGATATTGCTGCACATGTTCTGTATTTATTAGCTCACTTAATCCTCTCAACAACCTTACTAATTATGTACTATCATTAACCCCAGGAATACAGAAGGGGAGACACAGGCATAAAAAAGATAAAAGACTTGCCCTAACCCCCAGCCAGATCTGAACCCAGGCAGCCTATCATCAGAAAATGCGAGCAAGCAAATGTGCTGTTCTGTGGGGTGGACACCCTAGCCTTCTAAAGAGAGTGACAAAGAAATGACAGTGGTATGAATTCAAGTTACTTTAGCAGCAGTACCTACCATCATGTAGTAATAACCCACTGAGACTATTCAAATGCCCATAAATGTCCCCTTATAATCATTCCCTCCCAAGAGCAAATTATTCACATAAAGACATCCAGAGGGCCTTTATAGAACTGATTTGGTCTTTCAGTGCTAAATTTTATAAATGAAGACAGTTCTTAAGAAGTGCCTCTTAATACGGCACATTTATTTCCTGGAAAATTTTACTTTATTCAGCTAAGCTACCAAGTAATTTGGGCCTACTTTATACCTTAAGGGATGATAAATCTATTCTCTCATTCAATCAGTTTATTGTTTACTTTCTCAATTTGGTGCCAAATGTACACCATACGATGTGAGCCACAAGATGGCACTCTAATATAGGAAATGAACTTCTGAGCTGTGGTCCAGGGCAGATTATTAGCATTTCAGAAAAGGCATATTTTCCTTACACCATCTTAGGTCTCACACACACTTACAAATCACACTGCTCACATTTCTTGTGTGACTACAAGCATTTGTGCACACTTACTTTCTGAGGAAATCTTCCAAACCCTGTCGACGCTGATCTACATGTTGGCGATTATTCATGTTGAAAAACAGGTTTTTAGATGGAAGTTCTGGCAGTTGTCTTATGAAAAAGAAAATAAAATGTGTTTAATCATCAAAGCAAAGGAAATTAGTTATAGAACCCCCAAAGTGATTATAACCAAGCAAAGTATGCATGGTGATAATTGTCACACAACTACAATATAATTACATATATTACATATATACTAAGGGAATGAGCAAATCAATTAACTTAGAGAAACCTATTTAAAATATTTCTCAGTAGTTTTCTAATCAAAACTCATAAAAATTGGTAGAATTTGAGTGATTAATTTTGAACTTAGATGTAATAGCTACAAAACTAAAGCTATGATTGCAATTGAGAAGAATGTCTATATTTGTATATCTTGATGTATGTCAAGCATTAAATATTAATTTAACAGTCTCAATATAATCTTTTTAAGAAAAAAAATCACTTACACCAGCAATGCATTACTTTGGAGTCTCTGCCTCAGCCACACAAATTCTCTATATCTTCTTCGTACACACGATGTTTTCATGGTAAAACACATGCTATTGGTCTGTTTAGAGAAAAAGGAAATTATGAGTCTCACTTGAGGAAAAAAATAAAATGCTTTTCTTATGTCAATAATTCATATGTGCTCCCAAGAGTGATTTCCACAAACCAAAAATATAGTTGTAGTTATGCTTGATTCTGAAACCCATGCACATGACCCATCAATACAAGAGCCCCAAAGACAGCTGGGATGACATGAATGAACAGTGCTGTCTCGGGGCAAACATGACCCAGTCATTTCCTAGGGCCTGAAGTAGTCTCCTGCTCTATTATTACAATGCTTTCAGAGACAAATCACAAAAATGCAACAGACCCTAAACATCATCCATTGCATTTTAACACTCAATCCAGCTACCCACCCATGTAGCTGGAGAAGCCTTTGGGGGTTAGAGACCGTCTCCTGATCTTGACATGACATCACGGAAGCCACCTGCCCTTGATAATTGCCATCACTGAAGCCCACACAATCTCCAGGAATCATGAAATCGCTTTTAGACAGCAGTATAGTGTTTCCTTTCTAAATGAGATGAGCAAGAGAGTGTGATCTGAGTTTGAAAGAGGCAGGGCACGAGGGACAAGCATCCCCTTGAGGGATGGGGAAGGAGTTAAGGAGGACAAATTTCAGCCTTAGTTCTGCTAAGGGCAAGTCACTGAAACTCCAATTTCTTGAATGGTAAACCAGGATGAAACAGTACAGACTTACTGCACAAAGTGGCTGTACGGTCTAATAAGCACTTAGCAAGTGTTTCCTATTAATATTATTATTATTAGTTACTAGATGTTAGTTTCCTTCCAGCTACCCTAAGGTAGAAAGCCACCTAGAGAGCCCCCATCCTAAGGAAAACTGCAATCCTTCTCCTTTGGGTAAACATAAGACTAGCACATGTGTGTGCTTCTCCTTTGGGTAAAACAAGCAACTCAAAAATAATCTGCCTCTTGGTTTTGGAGAAGGATTTCTATTTGCTATATTTCAAATTTTGATTTCATAATGTTAATATGGCCAACAAGAAATTTTTTGTCCCTCAGATTTGTGTAATTTCAAGATATTTGTCATTATTCCACCAGTATTCCACCCGGCTATTGTTTTCCTGGAGAGTCTAAGTGATTATGTGCATTAGGTCTTAAACCATTCCTGTGACATGCATGGCCTGATTCTTAGTACACCTGAACTTCGTGATATTCAGAAAACCTTGGAATGCATAAAATTGAAGAGACAGAGCTCCTATGAAGCTACTGGTCTAAATTCCCTCAATCTTTGACAATACAACAGCAAAACAAGCTGTGACTCAATACCATTCTGTGTGGATTTCAAAGCATACCAGGGCCTGATTCTAATGTAATCCTTGGGGACTAAGCCAGCAGGCCAGTTACACCAGGATTAGTGCCCTAATGAGGCTTGGGCAGCTAGTTCTCAGCGCTCTCTCCCTGGAGATCACCTACTAGCCTCTGCAGGGACACTCCTGACACCCTACACACAGACCCCTTCATCTTCAATTCCCTTTAATTTCTCTGTTCAGAATCACTGTGGATGTCACTAGCAAGAGATCCTTCTGGTTCCTACACCAGATTAAGGTCTGTCTATAAGTCCTTCAAGTTCAGTGGAGTTTATGAGACGGGCTCCCCAGCTCTATGGTACATCATTTATTTTAGAGTTCCAAGGAAATGCTAAGATCTCAGTAACTTGATATCATTCCCCTTGAGATTAATTTAAGTGAGTTAAACAGCAGCTTCTCTGCCTTCAAAGCTCTATGGGTATAGTTCTGTGGAATTAACTAGAACTCTCCAGTTCCATCTACTTCTAACCACTCAACAACAGGAGAAAACCTCTTCAGGATCAGTCTATACTGAGAATACTCATGGATTAATTTCTCTAAATTTGTTATCTGTTATCTGTTTGCTGCTTCTACTATCAACCAAAACAAGATTTCTTTATTGTCAATTAGCATTTCAGAGAAATGCCCGACCACCATCAACCTCGTAGAACCCATCATTTCTGGCTCAAGATGAACATGTCTAAATTTACATCATGCTAATTTTTCAGCAGAGAAGAATCTACACTTTTATTAACTCAGGATAATTAAATTTTATGCCTACCAGAAAGTGACAAGGATTCCTAATTTTTTTTTACAGGAAGTTAAAAGGCAACTAAAGAATTTCAATTCATTTTCAAATGTTTAGTTGTATATAGTCACTTTATAATTTTCCACACAATATGAATCTCCAGTAAAACTGTAACAAAATCAAAATGCTGGGCTGACCCCAGCCTTCAACACAATCTTAAAAGAAAAAATAAATAAAAGTTCTGAATTTCTACTTTGTTTATTCTCTATTTAGAGAAACTTTATTTTCTAATTAGAGAAACACAAGTAATAAAAGGACATCATGATGGCCAGTGTCTGTGTAGTCATATACACCTGGAAGAGTAAAGGCTAAAAAAATTTTACTGCACTTGTGCTAAGGAGTCACAGATAAAAATCTGGAAAAGGGGCCCCTCCCTGGTGGCGCAGAGGGTTAAAGCACAACACTGAGAAGCTAAAGCTACTTCAGCATGAGTTCGATGCCCGCCCAGAAATTACCCACATGGTGCCGCAGACCTCTCCTGACCCCACCCGCTGCTCCCCTCAGCAGTGTACTTCGAAGATCTATCTGTTCTGCTCCCCACTCTGTCTCTGGTGAATCCTCTCACCACCCCTGCACCTCTGGCCTGTACCCCAGCTCTGTATACAAAATAAATAAACACTTTTAAAAAATCTGAAAAAGTGTGAACTAAGCCAGGTGGGGAAAGTGACTGCCTTTAATATCAGGGCCAATAAACCGTAGCCCAGGGGCCAAGTCTGGCCTGCTACATGCCCTCACAAACTATGTTTTATCAGAACACAATTACAGTCTTCATTTGCGTGTTGTTTATGGCTGCTCTTACCCTCCAAAAGCAGAATGGAGTTGTTTCATAAGAGACCGTAAAGGCCCACAGAGCTGCAGATATTTACTGCCTGGCCTTTTGCAGAGAAAGATGCGGACCCTTATTCAAGGTGACTACTGAAAGCTGCACATAACCTGACCCCGTTCAAAAGAGGATGATTCAGCTTTCAAATAAACTATATCATTTTTTCATTATTTACTCATGTTAATTAATCAGATTAGACCAAGGCATAGTAATTGCAAATATTCATTCCTACTTCCTCGTTCTATATAGAAAACACTACACATCACTTTTCTAAGGCACCTTATATCCTTTCAAAATTTAAGATTTATCATGCAGTATATTATCCAGAATTAAGCGATAACAAATCATAAAGAAAAACCATTAGTGAGCTATAAATACTCTTTAGCTGTGAATTTTAGATGTAGTCACATCTTCATACATAAAGGTAATAAACATGGAAATATTAATATTAACAAAGTTACAGCAAGCAATTAAAATAAGCAATTTCTCAACTTTAGAAACATCTTACTACTTCATTTAAGATGCAAGCATTGGTTGTAGTCATTCAAATTTGGTTGTTTGAATTAGGAACATTTTTACAAATTTCATTTTGAAAGTTAATCAGACTGCCCCATCCAGCATGCTCCCTAAAAATCATGATGGCTATGGGCTGCAGGCCATGTACTTACGTGAATGCATATCTCATAGTCAATATAAGAATGCCAAAAATCCTCCTTCTGAATCCTCGGATCTCGAACCCAGACGCTTACAAATTCCTGAAGGAGCATCACAAAGAAAGAAAGAAAGATATTTCAGAATGGTCAGTAGGGCTGAAAGAGTTGAGAAATGACGGAACTCAAACAAAACTGAAGTGAACTGTGGCTGTAATCCTTTAAAAAACAAGAAGTAAAGGTAATGAATCAGACATTATATAGGAAGTCCACAAAACATTTTTTGCTACAGATGGAATTTCTAAAAATAATATGAAAATGAGCTGAATGCACTTTAGAAACACTTCGTGGGATATATGGAGACAATATGAGTATACTCTAAAATGGATTTTTAATTTTTAACCATGAAAAATAGGTTCATACTTCTCTTAAATTTTAAAAGTTGTCATTTCTTACAGAAGAGATAAAAATTATGGGGTTTGGGAGTGGGCACTTATTTTGTTATGCAGATGATGAAATGAGAATTTTTCACTACAGAGAATTTTAAAAAGAGAGATTAAAAATAGTCCCCATTTCCTAAAAATAACTTTGCTACCTATCAAATTTCACCTAAGACAACAAACACTTTACTCTCCCATTTGAGACTTGCATTCTGCCCCACTCCTTGCTCTGGGTTTGTTAGAATTGCAAGTTAACGTTCAAGAGCATTCTTATTTTGCATTTCTTCCATTATACTTCATTATGCTTTTAAAGTCATCTAAAAAGAAAAACAAGATAAAAATATATAGCCATGCTCCAAACATTTTGACCCTCTTCATATTATAGGACAGGTTAAAAACCAGGAGGAAACAAACAAAACCCAGGCTTCCTGCCCTTAGTCTGTGTATTTCACCTCAGTCCCTGTCAGTCTTTGTGTTGTGTGGGGGGGGGGGGCTGATTTTCCTGGAGTACTTTACACACACCCACAGAGATGCATCAATCATCAATGAATCAGGAACAGGACAGACAGGTGAACAATTTCAGTGCCCGCAGTGCACTACATTTGCTCTCCCAGATGCACACACACAGAGCTACATTCTGGCTTTCACAGACCCTTGGCACTTCTGACGTCACCAGTCTTACCTCCACACACAAAAAATTTAAATCCTGCTTTACAATCATAGACACTTAAAGACAAATAATTAATATTACATAGTAAAACCTTCTCTTTGACCTAGGAGTTAATTTTATTCCTCTGTGACTTTAAAATAAACTAAAGCAGTTTCACAAGCCCCTAAAAGCAGTGTGGGCCCCAGACACTGTGCCTAATATAGAAGTGGGCCCAGTCTGTGCCCTGAGCAAGGCCAAGTGCTGACAAGAGCTGACCAGGCTACCCTGCCCCCACTTCAGCCACGCTTCAGGAGACTCATGGTCACCAGGATACACGTCACCATGTCCCATCACAGGGTGCTGGCTGCTCCACTTTTCCACTGGAGAGGCAGAAGTTCCTGAATAACCCAAAAGAGGAATTATTTCCAACAGCCCAGTGATCCGTACTGACCTACTACTAAAATAGTGGGGCATAAATCACCTAAATTAAACAAAAGTGAAAAGACAAAGGAAACACATAGGACAACTTGCTACAAACTTGTGATTTAAAAACGGCTTCTGGGCTAAAACTATAAACTCAAGTTACTAGAGGGACACATACCCACTGATCATTCCATATATTATTAATTGAGATGGTAGTAATGACAGAGAGATCTGTACCAAAATCAGGACTTTTTTCCTCTTCGTCTGCTACCACTCAATGATTAACATACAAACTTGGAGTAAAGTCCCCTTTCACGGCTAGTACACCGACTTCATTCTCACAAGACTAGGGGTAAATCCCAGTTCACCTACTGCTTCCACCATGAACTTACTCACTGGACCTCTGTTTTCCATATCTAGAAAATGGGAATAATTCCTGTCTAATCTCATATCGAAAAATAAAAACCCAAGTTCATAGATACAGAAAGGAGATTGGGGGTTTCCAACGGAGGAAGTAAAAGGGAATGGGAAAAATAGGGGGAAAGTATTAAAAGGTATACACTTTCAGCTTTAAAATAAATAAGTGGGGGCATGTAACGTTCAGCACGCTCACTATAGGCTGGTGAGACTCTATTATATGTTTGAAGCTGCTAAGAGTAGATCGTAAAAGTTCCCCAGGAAAAAAAATACATATAACTTTTATATGGTGATAGATGTTAACAAGATTTACTCTGGAGATCATTTTACAATGTATACAAATCTTGAATCATGCTGTACACCGGAAAAGTTATACGTCAATTATTATGTTAAAAAAAGGCACCAAATCCTTCCTTCTTGTTCTGTCAAACGCGGCAGCAACCTAAAAGCCACCCTGCCAAACCCAGAGGCAACTTCACCCAAACATGCGAGTCCTGCCTCTTTCCTGGGCAGGTTCCACCTGGAAGTCCCTCAAGCCCAGCTCTACATCCTTTCGATGTCACCCTGCTCCCCACCAAACACAACCAGAAAACCAGGTACCCCAGACTTCCCCGTGGACTCACCTCCCAGTCCACGCCAACCAACCCTTCAGATTCCCCCACCTTTGAGCCATCCACAACTCCAGGCCCTCCATTCCCTGCCTTGGTTCAAGAAGCACTTGCCCAATATTAAGTCAAGAGCTGTTAATTGATCTCTGGGCCCACAGCCAATTCATCCCCCACACTGAGAAAAAAATGGCTCCATAGCACCCATTTGATGATGTCATTTCCCTGCTGGAAATCCTTTAACACCTGCCCCTTCAAGATCAAGTTCCTGGCAAGCACAAGATAACTCCATGATTTTCACTCTATCATCACCAGCACAACGGCACACACGTGCCTTCATGCCTTTTGAACTTGCTGTTCTCGCTGCCTAGACTGCTGTCCCTCCCCCACTTCCTGTTTTTTTTTTTTCCTTTTCTTTTTTGCTAATTCTAACTCATTTCAAAACACACTCAGTCCGTGGTAATTCTAGAAAACCTCTGGAAATGCTCAGATTTACCCCATCGTAACCAATTTGACCCTCCCCCGAGTCACTAATGTCTCTGAGAAGATCTTGGTCAGAGTCCCTCCTCACCTCACCTCACTCTTAGGCCTCTTTTACCAGCTGCTAAGCTCCCTTAGGGTGGGTTAGGTGAGGGGGTGGCAGGTTAAATATTATCAATGGACAAATGAGCATCTGCAGGAATTAATTAATTGCCATTGAGGGAAAAAATGGATCAAACTTCAGTTGAAATAAAAAACTTCATCCTCTCCAGTTCTTGGCCTCTATGAATTAATGGAGCTACTTAGTAGCTGGCCTAAAATTTATCTTAATTTAACAAACCCCTCCCTTCAATGGTGCACCAATGAACATATGGCTCCAAGGGCCGTGTTTAAGGTCTGTGAGAACAGACGGTTTTCAGGTAGGCTAAAGAACTCCAGAAACATCTATTTACACAGAAATAATTGAAAATCATTCTGATAGCTTCAGCAACTTAGGTCCCCTAAACTTGTTCCAGACAACAATTTGTTAGCCTACTTGGAGCTAAAATATGTACTCAAAAGTAATAAATGTACATTTATCTTAAAAATTCTATCATTCAGATAGGTCACCCCTCCCCCACCCTGCAATTAGAAGGAATTAGTGAAGTTCACCATACTTCCAGCTATGAACAGCACCGCCAGGAAGCCAAGGTTCACTATAATCTCTTAATTAGATGCATCCCTCACGATGCTGCCTGACATCCCTCAAAGGAATGTTGACAGCCCGTCAGCCACAGAGGACAACGTCGAGTCCCATACCTAGAATCATATGGATTTCCTATGAAAATTGCCTTAGCAGCAGCAGTTAGTCAACTTAATAACCTTATTAAACACTTTAATGACTTCTTGAGCCTAATGACTATATCTACTATGAAGAAAGAAACCAGGCAGAATAGAATTAAAAATTTAAACTAACTGATCCCTACTGTTCTCCATGTGAAAACAGGCTTCTGGAAAAAGAGAGACAGCTAGGCTCTGCAATCTTATTCCATGTCTCTTATAATAATCACTCGTTTCAGTGTATCCCGTTTCCCCACCCCCAGTCCGGGTTTAATGTGATACATTTACCTACCTACCTTGTCTTTTTTCCCCTTAGTCCTGGTATGAGACAAAATTAATAATAAACACAGCTGTAATACACAAGGCACTGATGTGCCAGGCACGGTGATAAGTGTTCATACACGTCTTCCTTTAATCTTTACAACAATCTTGAGGTCAGTAATATCAGCATCCCATTTTGAGGATAAGAAAAATAAGACTTCTAAAAAGCTCAAGCAACGGGGCCAGTGTCAAATGGCCATTCAGGCTGGGCGAGGCTTCAAACTGAGGGCCACTCTGCTCCAACCCCTGTGCTCTCAAGCAGTCTATCCAAGCACTTCTTTTAACAATAATGCCAGGCAATTTCCAATTATACTGAAATTCCATTTTGGGAGGAGGAGAAAATGTCCTAGCTACTAGCTAAAATATCAGTTAAAACAGTAAGTGCTTCTGAAACTCTGTCCTGCTTAACTTGTCAAAGACTTTGTATTTCATTTACATTTCTAACACTAGAAGACAGCACTAGAACATAGTAAATGCTCATTAAATGTTTGCAAGTTATTTAAACCAAACGATTACAAAGAAGATTAAAACGCAAAAGACATAGTTTGACTGGAAGAACCAACACAGGAAGATAAATTCTTCCAGCAAGAATTTTTAAACAAACAGATGAGCTAGCAGACATTTACATGGAAAAGGAAAGACCCTAAAACAGCCAAAACAATTCTGAAAAGTAATTAAGCAAGAAGGATATCTTTTCCTGATGTTAAGGCTTTTTATTATAGCAAAAGTAGCTAAGATAATGTGGTATTGGTAAAGGGACAGACATACAGATCAATGGAACAGAATAGAAAACCCAGGGAATAGAACAGCACAAAATAGAAAGCCTACACACATATGCCTACCTGACCTGATTTTTGACAAGAGTATAAAGACAATTCAATGGAGGTGAGATAGCATTTCAACAAGTGGTTCAGCAAGTGGATAAGCACAGATGGAAAAAACCTTGACCTAAATCTTGCATAA